CTCACTCTTAGGCTTCCTGGGAAGTGGGTGTCAACTAGTAGCTCTCGTGACTCCTCAATTGTCGTCGTAGCAGAGCCGTCTGCACTGTTGATCAGGGTAAGGTTTATGTGCCCTTTGGCGAGAATTTTGCTTACTCTTGCCGTGTCCTTTATGCCTTCCAGTGACTCGCAGTAGTTTTGCCAGGACTCTTTCTTGGCCTTGTATACTGCCTTCTTGTAAATTTTTTGTGCCTCTTTATATGTTCCCCAATCCCGGGTTACATAGCTGTGGTTAAAGGACTTTCTCGCGCTCTTTCTGAGCTCGCTTAGTTCCTTTGTCCACCACGGTGGGTATTGCTTCTTCGAGAATGTTAGCTTACAAGTCTCTTTGAAGGCGTTATTCAGAATATTTGTTAGGTCCTCAACCTCCTTGTCGAGTGCCTTTGCAGTGGATATAGTCTTGATCCTCCTGCCGTTTACTTTAGATTGGACAATTTCGCGGAAATTGTTCCAATCCGTCTTACGGGGGTTTCTCCTTGGCACCTGTTTCTTAACTGGTGTCGTTATTTCAAAGAAAATGTATCTATGGTCTGAGAAGGAGTGTTCTGTTGATACCCTCCAGTTCTCGACACTGTAATTATTTTGTTCTATATGTAATGTGAGGTCTAACACCTCTTCCCAACCTTGAAAATTTTCCGTGCTCGGAAAGATGAAGGTCGGTGTATTACCCTTATTACATATCGTAACATTTCAACAGATAATATTGTCAAAAAGTGACTCACCTCTTTTGTTAGTCTCCGAGCTCCCCCAGAGCGTGTGCCTTGCGTTCGCATCACACCCGAGCACCAGGGTCGTCTTCATCACTTCCGCCTATTGCAGCAGCTTGACTACCGGCTCAGGCGGGGCCGGCTCGTCATGATAGGGCGTCAGGAGATTTGTCGTCGATGACCATGTCGTCCAACAATTTGTTGGTGTCATCGACCTCCTCCAGAATCTCGTCCGGCTCGGCCAAGAAACCTTTATCTTGGCCTTCCTGATGCCATACCGGACTTTGTGGTCATTGACCTCCAGCTGTGGCAGACAGCGCTGGTTAATCGGCAGGACAATAGGCTGGCTTGCCTTCATTTCCTGCTCTGCTCTGAGGATGGTCCAGTCCTCTGTATAGATGACTGGGTTCTGGGTCTTCAGACAGGCGATCACCCTCGCATGTTCAGTTTGGCTCTTTTTAACCAGATGCGAGCTCTGGGTCTCCTTGGGATCTCCCTGGCGTGGACTAGCCTAATCTTAGACCAGCCCATGTGTCGCTAATCTTAGCCACACACTCCGCCAGGAAGCTTCGGGAGAACCCGTCGTCACACTTGATGACCCGGTGCCTCTAACCACGTCTGAGGAGTCGAAGGAGGGGATGGGGCCGGTCGGCATGCTAACCAACCTGTCGGTCACCATGTCGGCCAACTTGGCCTCGATCTCCTCCCACTTCTCCGACAGCAGGCGATCGTCGTCATGGAGCTCGTCGACCAGTGCCATAGCCAGACTGTCTCTGGCCATCTCGCTAAATTTCTTTGCCTTGCTGACAAAGTTAGTCGCACGCGGCTTACCCTGTGGGTTCCTCGCTCTCTTTGGTCCGCTTTCGCTCACTTCCTGTGAGCGAATTCGCTTCGCCTTCAAGGGCTGGAACGCCGCCGGGTTTGCCGCTTTGTATTGCTCAAATTCCGCGACCTCCGCAAGGAATTTGGTCTTGTCCTCGGCATCCCGAGGGTGGGTTTTGCCCTCAGCCTCGTTTTTGGCTATCTTGCCGAGAACGAAGTGGGCTCTGTTGACCCTCCCTTGTCTCTGATGGTGAAACATTTTCGCCATCTCTGAGGTGGTGCCTAGCTGAGCCCCACCTGTGTGTTTAGATTGGGGAGTGCTACTCGCCCTCCCTCGGATTGCGACTCTTCTTCGTCGGTCTTCGATACTATGTGAGATGCAGCGACCAATCTCGGCCTCTGCATCTCCTTCTCGTCCTTCGTTGACAGTTTTTGGCGTTTATCCTTTCCCGGGAGTTCCGAAGCTCGGTTTGTAGAGGTCAAATCAATTCATGAACGCCCGCTTTGCTCGACCTGGCAAGCGCAGTGGGCCAGAGGGGGTTTGGGGCTTTGAAAACAGGTCGACCGCAGCTTCGCCCCAAAACTGCGGCAAGGCCACTTACGACCCAGGGTTGCCTGGCCCTGGGAAGGCTCCGTGCAGACACAGCTGGATTAACCCCTCAGCTGCGAACCTGGAAGTCAGTGTGCACGGGTCGCATCACACACCTGACTTGAGGGGAGGCTGATTAAAGACTTGCCTAAGTCCGCCCGACTACAATTGGTCAGCATCCCCGGTCGAACCTCGACTGGGGACCTGCTTCCAGCCGCCCTCGCTTGGAGAGTATAGTCCCACTACCGATGGCTTACACAGTTACGGCGGAAAACACAGTCATCCGTTGATCCCCCTGTGCACCCTATCGGCTGACGGCCATGTCAGGTAAACTTAAAAAATATTTTTCTTGATTTAAGAAAAATCGCCCTAAAACTAAGAAAATTTTTTCTAGAATTAAGAAAAGGTTTTCATAAATTTAGCGAAAGGCATCATAAAATCAAGACAAGCCACCATATGTTAAACACAATTTTTTTAGTGGTAAATTATATTTTTTGTTTAAACAAATTTTTCCTGATTTTTTTCGTTTAGCTTCTTTCTTAACATACAGGCGAACCGCCCAAGTTTGGCAGGTCAATTTTTTTGAATTTAAATCTCGCACATGTGTTCATAAATTTCCCAACTGATTTAAGCATCCCTGGCATGAGGTGATGGTTGCCGGTCAAATCCTAGATGAGTTTATGTACATATATGTATGAACTAATACAGAAGCATGATACAATTGTATCACGTTCAGAAGTAACAACCTTAAAGTTCCATTTATCATTAATTAATCAAGGATTCATCAACTGTCAGGCTGTTTTGTTAATGAATCATCGATTAACGTTCATACAAATTAGTGATGAATTTAACATGGGCATGTCCTAGACTATCATCCACAAAATTCATCAACAATTAATCAATGAATCATCAACAATTTATCAACATTCATCAACAATTCAGCAACCATTCATCAACGGCCGAGCCACTATACAGCCGACGACTGCCGACGGCTGCCGACGAGACTACAATCGTAACTGTATCGTGGGCAGAGCGTCGACTCGATAGAAGTAGCAATCGGCAGAGCGTCTACTCGGTAGAAGTCGCAGTCGGCACCATGGTACAAATGTTTAACATTAATTCTATTTGTAAAAAAAGTGAGTATGGATATATTTTAAAAGTAGGCTTGGATATTTCAATACTGACGACCAACAGAATGACCAGCCTTTCTATCTTGCAAACAGACTCTCTTCAAAAACTCTAAAAAACTCCAAAGTCAATAGCCGATCTTTGTGATAAAAATAAATACAAATAAATAAATATACATAATCCATATTTTTCGATAGCAAAAAAATAGCCGAGCACCCAAACAACTTGTAACCTTTACGCCTCTCACAACCAATCAAAAAACGGGATTCGTTTGAAACTTTGTACAGATGTTAGGAAAAAGTGTACCAACATTACAAAACAACAAGAAAGGAAGCTAACTTCAGCACGCCGAAGTTTATATACCCTTGCAGATAGAACTTCTATGAATAGGAATCCATACAATATAAAATATATATATTTGTGTTAAAAAACAATGAAGTAATACCTGCTTTCATTTCATTCACCTTTACATATTATATTTGCAGTTTTACATTCACAGATTTGCATTTTTCCTCGACATCAAACGATCGTTTGTATGGCACCTATGTGATATAGTCGTCCGATTTTCAAAAAATTTGACACAAAATTTAAGACTAATATAAAATATACCTCAAATTTGATGAAAATCAGCTGAAAACTGAAAAAGTAATAAATTTAATTGTATTAATTTCTCGATCGGTCCTATGGGAGCTATATGATATAGTAGTCCGATTTTCATAAAATTTTATGCAAAAGTGTAGAAAATAGTAAAATGGCTATATCTCAAATTTGATCCAATTCTATTAAAAACTGAAAATGTTACAATTTTTTGTAAAAATGTTCCGATCATTCCTATGGCAGCTATATGATATGGTCGTCCGATCCGGCCCGTTCCGACATATATACGAGTGAGAGTATATAGAACGCTAACTACAAAGTTTCATTCAGATAGCTTCAAAACTGAGAGACTAGTTTGCGTAGAAACGGACAGACGGACAGATGGACAGATGGACAGAAGGACAGACGGACATGACTAGATCGACTCGGCTGTGGATCCTGATCAAGAATATATATACTTTATGTAGTCGGAGGTGCCTCCTTCAGTGCGTTGCAAACTTCTGACTGAAATCTCGTATGAAATAATTTACTTCAAGACTATAATTATTTCCGTTTATACTATCTCTGGGGTTATATAAAACATCAATAAGAGGTAAGACAAAGTTCGACGAGCCAGCTTGTTTTTTTTTAACGTGGTGTTTACGACTGCGCAGGATAATGAGTTTTTTTATTTTCTTATCCTAAGGCTGAACGTACGTTCGTAACAAATCAGACTCTGTGCTGGTTTAAAAACTTTGACGAAGAAGAACCAAGGAGTCCATAGAGATCAACATGTGAGAACGATTTAAAAGACGTCCATATTTGTTTAGCTATAAGTTCAAAGGAATTTTATTTTGTATAAGCTTATGTACATAACTTGAATTTCATCTCGTTACCTACAGTAAGTTTAAGTAGAAGGCAGCCAATATTTTCTTACAGGTAAAGTCATGTGGGAAACTAAATCGAATTTATTTTCATAATTTTGTGGGATTCTTTTAAAATCATAAAATAAAATCAAACGCATTTATTGTAAAAGATTTAAAAGTATCAAAAATATGATTTATTGAAAAGTAAGCAAAACTATAACTATAGCTAAAAAAATCTTTCAAAAAAATCTTCTAAAATCTTTTTCTTATTTAGTTGTGATCAATATATAAATCCGAGGTGCGTAACATTAAAATGTGCCACAATTTTAGCAGAACACAGAAAGGATTCTGTTTTCATTGAGGATCAATTAAACGAAACTGGTGCACTTGTCAATGTACTTTGGTTGGGACTCAACTTCAGAAGTACAGTCAAATGGCTTGTAAAAGAATACACAAAACGATATCCAAAAGGATCCAAGAGAATCATTATTTTACACTGGAACTCATCTGAACTAATTAATAATCAGGAAAATTTTGCAAAAATTGTAATGCCAAAGTGTGAATATTTCGATCCTGTACGCAAAACATATTGCAAATACAAGGATACTCGCATTGTAAAATATTATGCAAAAAGCTTGGAATATGACAAACGACTAATTTTTGCAATTAAAAAATTTTATTTGAGTGAGGGCGTCATAGAAGACATAAGGGATGAATATCAAAGTAATAGTTTTAACGACATAAATATATATAGCAAGGTGGCTTGTAAATGGTTGACCAAACACGAACATTTGTATAATACTTGGAAGGAAACTTATGCAGACACTAATTTATCAATCGGTGGTATATTTCCAATAAATATAACTAAGAGCGGTTATGAAGACCTTCATAAGGTAGCAAAATTGGCGGCTATGGCTGTTAACAAGGAACAGTCAATATTACCTGGCTATAACTTGCAAATACTAGTAAATGATGGACAATGCAAGTCTGCCATGGTTTTGAAAGCTCTTATACACTATTACACGGAACCAAATATGTTGGGAATTTTAGGTCCTGCGTGTAGTGAAACAGTGGAACCATTAGCTGGCATTGCTAAACACATGAATATGATGATAATTTCCTATTCGGTGGACGGAATAAACTTGGATAATCGTGAAACTCACCCTTACTTTTTTCGTACAATTGGTTCAAATTTGTTATTTGTTGATGCTTACCTCGAAATTATGAATTCATTTGGATGGTTACGAGTTGCCTATTTGACCGATTATGCCAATAACCATTTTATTGTAACATTGGAAAGAATATTAAAATCTCGAAATATAATACTACTTTCAAATCAAAAAATTGCTGTGGATATTAAACTTGTGGATATAAATAAGGTAAAATTTATATTGATAATGAGGCAACAAAATTTTATAAATTTGTATGTTTTATATTTTTCAGCATCTTAAAAAATTAAAAGCTACACGATCTAAGATCATAATTGCAGACTTACATAGCGAAAATGCACTAAAGACATTATGTGAAGCATATAAATTAAGCGTAAGTATTTTAATTCTACTGTTCCAAAATTTAGCTTACGATTTGCCAAATTTAAAAGAATTAAAAATAATATGGGTATTCTGATTTGATAGCACCTGATTACACTTAAGGATTTAGAAGTCAAATCATATTCAACAAGATTCCAAGGTAAAAAACATCTTAGAAATTTGTAAAACATTCAGGAGTTTCTTATAAGAAAAAATTTCTTTCAAAATTTGAATTTGTATTCAGATTAATTTTTTTAAATATGCAGACTTGATTGATCCGTCCGTCCGACTATCTGCTTGCATACAAGTTGATTCGCATTGTAGCTGTTAAAAGCAAAAATAAATATGGTAACGCAGTATTTCAAGTTATATGTGCCTATATGTGTACTCAATTTAAAACTTCTCAACTACTAAACTACTCGCAATAAGCGACAAATATAAAAAGAGGTTACAGGTTACCTGAGCGCCTGCACTGCGTAAGAGAAATAAAATGAAGATTGGAGGCGCTTTTTTTTAATTTTGTTGCATAAAAATGAAAGAAGGAGACAGAAGCGGCTTGCACTTGAAAAATTTGTTTAATAGCCTCAAAAGTGAAATTGGGAAGATGAGACAAATTGTCCTTTATGCATGAGTAAAAATCTAATTACTGTAGAGAGAACGAAGAAAGACGGAACTTTAAACCAGGTTTGGTTAGGTTGAACTGGACTTCCTCCTGGGGCCAAGCATAGGCCAAAATGGCTTTTTGCCTGTGCGTCCAAACTAGGTTTGAAGCGTCCTTAGGGAGACGGGGACTGTTTCTTTTTCGCCAGTCCGACTAGTTCCTTTGCAAGTTCGTCTGCGGTCTCGTTGCGATCGAAGCCCAGGTGGCTGGGAACCTAATAGATCCGCTTTAATGTTGTCGTGCTTAGAATATCAAGTTCGCCCCTGCTTGCTAATGCATTTTTGGAACTGACTGCTGCGATTGCATAGATCTAATCGGTGCTTGACTGTCTTCAATCCGGTTTATCGCCTCTGTGCAAGCTCTGCCGCATTCTTGATGGCGAAGACTTCCACCTGGAATATGCTGCATTGGCTTGGTAGCTTATAGGACAGCCTTATCTCAGGATATGTGCAGTATATGCCCACTCCAACTCCTACTTTCTATCTTGGAGACGTCTGTGTATATTTTAAGGTATTGAGCATGGTCCTGAGCCGTTTTTCAGTCTTTGGGTCCCATGAATGTTGTTGTTTAGACATTTGGGCAGTGTTTTCGGGGTGCCCGGTCGTATTGTTTTTGCGGAGATCCATAGCGGGTTAGAGAGTAAGCCCAGTCGAACTTTGCTTCAAACGGTGAGCAATTCAGGATAGAAAACTATGTCGAGCAGGGATGGCCTTATGCATGGTCCCCAGTTCAGTAAAGCTGGAAGCGCGGCATTCAGGTACCTGAATCGAACGCTGCTCCGTTCAACGTTCAGTTCGGTGCTAAGGTATTTCCTTTTCGGGATATTTTTTAACACGAAGTCCGACGACCAAAAAAAAAAATACCCGCAATTATTTTACGTTTGGCTTTTCAAACTACGTAGAATTCCTCTGAATGAAAAATCGGAAAATATCTAGAAAGCAGAAACCTATTAATATGAACTTAATAATATATTTTTGACAGTTTGTGTACTCTTTATGTACTATAATTTGGTTATCTTACTTAACCACAGTTATTAATTTATTTTAATTTTGTTGGTCAATATTTAACTGAAACTAAAATTTTTAAAAGAAAATTCATTGAATTAACAAATTAAAAAATAAATTAAGAAAAAGTTTTCTCGCACGAGATTTTGAACTCGCGCTAGCCTGTTTGGAAGGCGGATGTTCTAACCCCAGAGCCACACGCCACGATCGCCTAGCGACGACAAAGACAAATATCAAGCGAGCAAAAATAAATGCCCTAAAGAGGTTGCAAGTTTTTGTCCCTCTCACACGAGATGTGCACATGTGTGTATATTGCCGACGCAATGTAAGTTGTCTGCGGCCAGATTGTTAAACATTATGACGTAGGTTCAATCCCCAGTTGGTCGTATAATATTCTAAAAAAGTTTGTGAATATGGTTCAAAGTGATTTACTACAATTTAAATGTAAAAAATAAAAAAAAAATCATCTTAATAAGTCGAAGCTTCATACAATTTTTTTTGTTAATCGAATTATTTCATTGAATTTTTTCCATACCGCTCTTGATGAATTTGATCACGAGCCGAGCAGCGACGGCGGCACCATGAATTACCTCACTGAGCGCTGAGGGTGAATTTGATCATGAGTCGAGCAGCGCATGAATAAAAGCGAATAAGAACTTTACATAAACGGTGGATCCTACCCACCGATTGGGTTCGCATTGAAGTTGAATTTGGCTAAAAAGTCAGACTAGGAGGTCGGTCTTTTCCCCGTTGATATTGAGTCCTACCTTGTCCGCTCAGCCACATATCTCCCGGAGTGTTGATTCCATAATAGAGCTACGGGTCGATGGACACACTCTTATGTTAATTATGATTTTGTCGTCATCGTGGTCTTCCTCTCGAACCTTTTGATTAGGTCGTCGACCACTAGATTCCATAGGAGGGGAGATAAGACTCCGCCTTGCGGCGTCCCTCTGTGCGCTGTACCCATATGCAACTTAGTAGATTTCGTGTCCAAAATTTGATGGCGGGGTGCGTCGTTTCAGGCGGCTTATGTTGTTGAATGCCCTGGATATGTCTACAAAGACTCTGAGCGCATATTCCTTAGTGTGCAACGAGGTCGAGGCGACCGATTAAACTTCTTCGAAGTCTACGTAGATGGCTTATGCCATCGTCGAAAAAGTTCTATATTGAGTATGGCATTGCTATAAAACTTTTTCTAGGGATAGATTGAATTGATCGCGATACCGGTTCTGGCAGCGATCGAGTGAGACTTTTTTAAAATTGTAAGACAGTCAACCCCTCTAAACTGTGTGTCAGATAGGGAGCAACAAAAAGGAATGTAACGGCCCTCTCATGTATTTGGGTTTAACGACACGGCCAAACATCATTCATTCTTTGTCAAAGATTGCGCAACAAAACTCGGGTCCACTTTATAAGTTTATGCCAAAAGAATCCTGAGGTACCTGCAAAGTAAGAATACATTCCACTGGAAATATAAGCGAACTGAAATGCTCGTCTCCTGATATCTGGATGCGAACTGTTTTGGAAACAACAGCAATCGGAAATCGTTTACAGGGTAAATGATTTTGGCGGCGATCAGCTGGCAGTCAAAGAAGGAACCGCTGGTGTCCCTCAGCTCTGGAGCGATTTAGATCTTGGCGAGGTCTCACCGATTATGTATACAATTATAATGATTAGTGAAGAATTCGGTTTATTATGCGCGTAGCAAAACATATATATGAAGTATCATTAGGTTATGGATATGTTTAGAGAATAATGTTTGGACTTGAAGAATGTCTGAATGGAATGAATGGCAGATGTGAAACGAAGAAACGAAGAAACACAGCAAAACACGGGAAATGTATTAATATCTGAAATAGACGAACACCGTTGAGAAAGAATGTTTGATATACTGATATATATCAAGCGATGGTTGGCAAGCTTTAGGATCCGGTCTTCTTCTTCGGCTTTGCTAGGTGTTGTTCTTGCTTATATCGATTCAAGCACTGGCTACACTTTATTAATAACAAGAAAGGAAGCTAACTTCGGGACGCCGAAGTTTATATACCCTTGCAGATAGAACTTCGATGATTAGGAATCCATACAATATAAATTATATATATTTATGTTAGAAAACAATGAAGTAATACCTGCTTTCATTTCATTCCCCTATACATATAATATTTGCACTTTTACATTCACAGATTTGCATTTTTGCTCCACATCTAACGAACCTTTGTATGGCACCTATATGATATAGTAGTCCAATTTTCATAAAATTTGACACCAAATTGTAGAATAATATGAAATGGCTATATCTCAAATTTGATAAAAATCTTTTGAAAACTGAAAATGTTCTAATTTTTAATTTTATTAATTTCTCGATCGGTCCTATGGGAGCTATTTGATATAGTAGTCCGATTTTCATAAAATGTTACACAAAATTGTAGAGTAATATAAAATGGCTACATCTCAATTTAAATTCTGTTGAAAACTGAAAATGTTATAATTTTTTTTTTTTTGTATTTCCGATCATTCCTATGGCAGCTATTTGATATAGTCGTCCGATCAGGCCCGTTCCGACATATATACGAGTGAGAGTATATAGAAGAATTACTACGAAGTTTCCTTCAGATAGCTTCAAAACTGAGAGACTTTTTTTGCGAAAAAACGGATGTAGACGGACAGACGGACATGGCTAGATCGACTCGTCTGTTGATCCTGATCAAGAATATATATATTTCATATAGTCGGAGGTGCCTCCTTCACTGCGTTGCAAACTTCTGACTGAAATTATAATACCCTGCAAGGTTATAAAAATTACCAATTGAGAGTGATGCGACGAAAAGAATACAATACAATACAAAACCGGTAAAAGAGATTAGTTAATCCACGAATTTTATGATCACACGCCTTAGAGCTTGGCCCTGGAGACCTTCCGAATTTTTCCTACTCGCAAAAATACATCAGCAGAGTTCAGTTCACTTTAAATTTAAACATAAATTATTTATTTATATTCGCTAAATAATATAGTGCTTATTTTAATAATGACTCTTAAAATTAAGAAAGATTGGACCATGTTTACTCCTAAGCTTCATAGCACGCAGAGAGATCAATATGATAATCAAGAGTGGAATGCAATTAATTTCAAACTTTCAAGTTGGCTTAGATTACATTTTCAGACCTTATTAATTTCCTATCTTAGATATAGTTGGATTTATATATATATTAGATTTCGTACTGATATATAATTTTAATTGTACTTCATTTTTAGTTTGACTACGATAATAGGTATTTAAGATAAAAAAAATAATTAATTAGTTTACACTCCATTAGGCTTTTCAAATTAGAGCTTGTGATCGTCGG